AGATGGTGCAGAAGCTAGAGGAAAAACAATTTGTGGAGATGAAATGGAGACAGTGTGAACCATTCAAGGACAGAACCATCAAAGTTGAGGTGAGGAGAGGTGGTGGATAAGGATAGAGTGGTCAACGGTGTCGAAGGCAGCAGAGAGCTCAAGGAGGACAAGGAGGCAGAGGGAGCCCTGGTTGCAGATGGTCAGAATGTCATTTATCACTTTGACCAGGGCTGTTTCTGTGCTGTGGGTGGTATGGAAATCCAGTGGGGAGAAGGAAGGGAGTGGCAGGAGAGGAAGGAGCAAAGCCTAGAATCAACAACTCATTCCAAGACCTTGGAGAGGAAAGGGTGGTTTGAAATGGGGTGATAGTTTGAGAGCAGGGATGGTTTCAGGGAGGGTTTTTTAAGGATAAGTGTGATGACGGATGTTTTTAATGGGGTGGGAATGGTACCAGTGGACAGGGCAGGTTTATGATGTCTGTGAGTAGAGGGGCAAAGAGTTGGAGCTGGGAGGTAAGAAAAGGGGTAGGGATGGGGTCGAGGGAGCATGTGGTCGGTTTCATGCAGGTTATAGTGGTGATGAGAGAGGAGTGGGAGACAGGTTCAAAGGTATGGAGGGAGGGATGCGTAAGGGGCTGAGTGAGAGGGGGAGATGGGGCAGGGTTAGTAGACGGGAGGGCAGAGACAGCTGAGCAGATCCTCTCAACTTTGGATTCGAGCAAGTCTATTATCGCCTCGCAGTTGGCATTGGAGATGAGGATGGGCATGGCATGAAAGGGTGGGCAGAGGAGCCAGTCGGTGATGGAGAAGAGGAGCCTGGGGTTATCCTTGGCCTCCAAGATTGTCTTGGAGTAGAACGATGATTTAGTGGATGCGAGGGTGGATCAGTAAGATTTGATAAGGTCCAGCCAGATCTGCCGATGGACCGTTCAGCGGCACGCACCTGTGCCTTAAGGAGCTGAGGTGGCCGGTGTACCCTGATGACTTTTGTTAGTAGGAGATGGTTTGGGAAGTGAGGGAAGCAAGGAAATTGGGAGTGGTTGAGAGGGAGCTGTGGAGAAGAGTGACCGAGGAGGATATGTCCTTTCAGGAGGCTCCGGCCTGCTCCATGTCTCCCGCCTGACCCGTCCTACCATCGGTGGCTGGGCTTTTAGCCTCACTGCCCCATACTCTGGAACTCCATCTCACAGTCTCTTCGCCTGGCTTCCTCCCTTGCCTCCTTCAAGGCAGGTCTCAAGACCCTTCTCTTCGACCGTGCCTTTGGTCTCCCTCCCACCTCGCTGCCTTCCCTGACCCCTACACCACCCCTCCCCCATGCTCGGGCCCTGACACCTGACTGTTCAGCGCTTTGGGACGTCCTCCTGACATGAAAGGTGCCCTATAAATGTAATTTGTTGTGTTGTTTGTTGATGTCATTGCGGAAGAAGCCCAGAGGGGAAGGAGTTCAGATGTCTCCAAGGCATCCAAGGGGGGGGAGATTTTTTTCCTGGGGCAGTAGGAGATGGAAGTGGATTGGGTGGCAGTGAGGAGAGGGATTGAGGAGTAAAGAGAGGAACAGGGATACTTTGCACTGGCAAAACAATATATCCTTTGTCTCCTCATGGCAACCTTTCCAAACTCTGTTTGATGGATACCACCCTGGCCACTGTTCCTCCAACTTTCCTCTCTTGCTTTTCCCAAACTTTAAATCTATCTTGAGCACCGTTTCAGCCAAAAACAACACTTGCACTTATACAAATGCCTTTCACGTAACCAGTATCCACTCACTCACTGAACTGAAATCAAAATTCATCTTATCGGTTCCTACTCTAACTCTTTCTTCTCTCGTACCTCTTAGGAAGTCTTAACCTGATGTGCTTGTCAGGTCCTAACCTGATGTACTACTCCCCTGCACGCCTCCTCTCTGCTGAGCTAACACAGGCCAGCTGCATGTCCCCTGCCTCCCCAAATGCAAGTTGACATTGCTGTACCTCTTGCTGCTTCTCATATTCCTTCTACACCATCAGTGCTCGAGCTTTCAGTCATTATACCCCTATCCAGCTTGGTACAGAGGGAGCGCACTCGCCTCTGTATCACAAGGTTTTGGGTTGAAGCCCCACATCAGGACTTGGACTTTAAACACTATACAAACCCAAGTTTTGGTGTCATTCTTACTCCTATTTCTTTTTAAGCTTGGTTTTGAAGTGAAATATGGCTGTTGAATCAGTTTCTCCATAATTAACACAATGATAAATGTTGTAGAAATAATGGCATAGCTTCAGTTCTTTGAAGAGATCCAGATGTGGAAAGGAAAGAAAGCAGAGTGGTAGCCGTAGTGTGAGTGTTGTGGCCCACATTTCCATTTTTAGATCATATAATATCATGTGATGTGACAATTAACACTGGTGATAATTATCACATTGCACGTTGCATGTTTCACCCCACTGTTTCCAGTCCAGGGATTACAAGATTGATTCAAATGAAGAAGTCCCTTCCGCCAATCTGATCTCATCGTTCCAGAATACCCACCCTACCATCCCCCACATCATAGCATCGAACCATATTTTTAAATGAGTCCAGTGACCTAGCCTCAACCACCTTTCCTTGTAACCTGTTCCATTTCAAATTTAATCCTCTGGGTAAAGAAATATCTCCTAGTGTCTGTCCTAAAATTGCCATTTGGCACCCTAATCCAGTTTCCACTTGTTTTACTGTCTTGGTACATCCAAACTGGTTTACTTTTTCAATTCCATTTAAAATCCTTTCAAGACTGAAGAACCCAATCTTATCTTATAATTTGCTTGTAGCCCATTCCTCTAAAATTAGGGGTAATCCTTGTTGCTCTCCTTTGCAGTGCCTTTTGGGGCTGGAGATCTCACTTATGTCGCAGCAATCTGACCTATATTCAGTCCATTTGGTGTGGCCTAACCAGACCACAAGACCACTGTATAGCTACTTATGTATTTATGCAGCAGAAGCGTGTAATTGTGATACTCAAGATGAAAGATGCTCTCAGCTGTTACTCTGACAATTTACAGCCACACATCAGTGTTATTGAACACTTCGGACAATAGCCTGATTTTACCAACCAAGTCTCAGCTCTCAATTTAAATTGCTCCAACCCCCCCCCCCCACCATTTTGATAGAATAACATCTGAATTATTATTCTTAAACTGGACTTAATAATCTTCGGAATAACACATGCTAAAATATGTGCATACTTCAGAATCTATTCATATTAGAAGACGTTCTGGATTTCCGTAAGAAGTTAATAAAGGGCGTATCACCACTGTGTATTTGCGAAGCCCCTTCTGTATAAAATACACCTCAATGAGCAGCTCAGACTGCTGGGGTCACAGCATGTGTATCATGCGATACATCCTGCATAACTCATTCAGTCTGTCCCAATTGTCACCTCCTAGGTATCTTGAGTCAAAGGACAGCATACAGACATGAATGTGAGTCCAGTATGCCCATATTCAAGTGGATAAACGTGATCCGAGATAATTAGGTAAGACAACTTCCCTAAAATTTACACATGCAGAAACCCATCACTATGCTTCAGACTCACCAAACCAGACTGAGATTTCCATATATTCCATCTACACATTGAATTCCCCAGTGTCTGAAATTGAATACACACTCTCTATGGAAGAATGCCTAATTCCAAGAGAATATTAGGTGCAATATGTCTTGGGGACCCCAGTGTTCATGTTGAGGTACTGAGATCAGGGTGAAAATATGATGTGTGATAACTATCTTAAAGCAGTCACAAAGTGTCACTGATACGCGCATGGTTGCAGGTTCAATTTCCCCACAGGTGAGCTCATTGGCTGCCACAAGCCATTTCACAAGGCCAGAGGGTGGGCGGGAGTTGTTTACCAAACATTGGCTGGGCTATCAATAGCATCAGAAATTCCAATGATGTGATAAGTATCAACATTAAATATTGTACTTTCAGACCAACTTTCTATCCTGTTAAGATTACTTGCACAAGTTTTTTTTTCCGCAACCCAATTGTTGCACATAAAATAGGATTATATTGGATTTTCCTCTACATATGTCCCTTAGAATATCTTTAACATTGATCTTCAGAGAGAGTTCCAACTTAATCCTGAGATATCATAAATGTATGGGGTGAAAGTAGCCACATTTCTCAATATCTTCCTTGTAATAATTATCACAAAGAATGTATTATGAAACAACAAAATTTTATGTTAACATGGATAGCTGACTTCAGTGTTACTCAGTCTTTACAGGTCCCAACTAGTCCCTCCTCCTTGCAAAAGTGTAGTTGACTGCAATCTGTTACAGGTTCCCAGAACCAGGAGTCCCTCTTTGATATTAATCTCCATTCTGAAACCCTCATACATCCCTTCATTACATCTAGGCTCGACTAATCCAACTCCCTGCTTGCTGACTTTCTCAACTCTTGCCTCCACAACCTGCAGATCATCCAGAACTCTGCAGCTCATGTCCTCTCCCGCTTCAGGCTCCTTGTCTGCATCACCCGCACCCTCGCCCGGTTCCACTGGCTTCCCATCCCTCAGAGGATCAAGTTCAAAATCTTCACCCTCAACGTCCTCCATTGCCTTGCCCCCTCCTACTTCTCTGATCTGCTAATCCCTATCAACCTGTCCGCTCCCTCCACTCGGCAGGCTCTGGCCTGCTTCATGTCCCTGCCAGCCTGGCCCACCCCACCATCGGCAGCCGGGCCTTCAGCCTCTCTGTCCTCATCCTTTGGAACTCCATCCCACGTCCCCTTCACCTCTTTCCCTCCTTTGCCTCCTTCAGGGCACACCACTAGACCCTCCTTTTCGTCTGCGCCTTCGGCTATCCTTTCTGTCCTCCACCCTCCCTGATCCAAACCCACCCCCACCCCTCAGGTCATAATCCCTAATCCTTGACTGTTGAGCGTCTTGGGATGTCCTCCCAACGTAAAAGGTGCTTTACAATTTTCATTTTGTGTCGTATTCTTGACAGCACTGTTGCTGTAGATGCTAGTTTCACTGCAGTAATATGTATTTTCAGGTACATCCCTGAATCTCCAAGATGGCTCCTGGCAAATGCCAATTTAGACAATGTTAAAGAACTGTTGAAGAAAGCGGCCAAAGTCAATGGGATTTCAGAAGTGGTAAGAGTTTGTTCTCATTGGTAAACCACAAGACCTGTAATAGAAACAGAAGTCGCTGGGAACACTCAGCAGGTCAGACTCTTTTAAGGACTAACAGAGAGGGGGGAGGCAGGGCAAGGAAAACAAAGGGGAAAATGGGTTAGAGGACAGGGGATGATGGGTTAAAGAGGTGTTAATGATACAAAACAAAGGGGAGGAAAATTGCAACAAAGCAGGCAGTCCAGAGAGAGAAAAGGTGTGTCTGGGACCCAGATGATGTGATAATGGTCACAGAAGACAGGGAGGGGGAAGGTAAGCTGTTATGGTCTAAAATTATTGAAATCAATATTGAGGCCAGAGGGCTGTAAGGTAACAGGTTCTCCCGGTGTCCTGGCCAAAAATCCTCCAGATAAAATTAATTATTCAGTTCATGGATGTTTGTGACACATGACTATGTGCAAATTAGCTGTTACATTCACCTAAAGAATCCACAACCATTAGATTTTACCGAAAACACTGAAGTGTTTTAACATTATAGGTATAATGCAACAAATGTAAATACTGTAATACTATTATAGAGAAAATGTTGTATTTTATGCCTTGTATTTACATCAAACATCCAGCAATAGAAAGACAGGGAGCATGCATAGTTTAAAATTTTTCACTGAAAGCAGACATATGAAAATACAACATGCATAATTCTATGAGACCATTTTTACTTACTCACTATTCTAATTATCATAATTATTCAGCATAGAAAAAGCACAAATAGACACACCAACAAAACAGACTATGTCTGTGCCAGGTTATCTCTGTATTATGAACTCCTATCCCATTTTTTTGCTTTTATTCCCCCCAAATTTTTTTATATCTTTAATATCAGCTCTGGTGATTACTGGTGGGATGCAATATACTATTGAACATATTCTATGCTTCATGTCTTGCACGTTGTTTGGAGGTATAGATACTTTCTTTGAGTGTTAGCCTGGGTTGGTTGATGGCACTCTTTTGGGATGTCCTCCCGACGTAATTTTGCCGTTGTTGTTGCCTCACGTTGGGGGACTTGGAACTCACAATCCAGGCAGCTACTCCAACGCACTACTGGGGGTGAGCTCTATTATGGTGGGTGCTGTACTTCATAGACCATAAGACCATAAGATGTTGGAGCAGGAGTAGGCCATTCAGCCCCTCAAGCCTGCCCCGCCATTTAATAAAATCATGGATGATCTTCTAACCAAATTCCCTTTACCTGCCCTGTCCCCGTATCCCTTAACCCCTTTATCCTTTAGAAATCTATCAACCTCAGTCTTGAATATGTTCAAGGACCAAGCATCCACAGCCTTCTGGGGTACAGAATTGCACAAATTCACTACCCTTTGAGTGAAGAAATGTCTCCTCAACTTAGTTTGAGAAGGCTGACCTTTAATCTTGAGACTTTGACCCCTAGTTTTAGATTCTCCAACCAGGGGAAACAGTCTCACGGCATCTACCCTGTCAAGACCCGTAAGAATCTTATAGGTTTCTATAAGATCACCTCTAATTCTTCTATATTCTAGAGAATATAGGCCTAGTTTACTCAATATATCCTCATAGGTCAACCCCCTCATTCCAAGAACAACAACAACAAGAATTCATTTATAGAGCACCTTTCACGTCGGGAGGACGTCCCAAGGCGCTGGACAGTTGGGTCGGGACCCGAGCAGGGGGGAAATGGTCAGGGTGAGGGGAGGGAAAGGAGGGAGTGAGGAGGGGGTAGAGAGTCGAGAGGGGAGCTGAAGGCACGGTCAAAGAGAAAGGTCTTGAGACCGGCCTTGAAGGAGGAAAGGGAGGAGGCAAGGCGAAGGCACTGGGGGATAGAGTTCCAGAGCCTATGGGCTGAGAGGCTGAAGGCCCGGCCACCGATGGTAGGGCGGTTGGGGCGGGGGATGTGGAGCAGACCGGAGCCAGAGGAATGGGCAGGTAGGTAGGGGGATAGTAGGTCAGAGAGTTAGGAGGGAGCAAGGCCGTGAATGGCCTTGTAGGTGAGGATGAGGATCTTGAATTCGAACCTAGTGAATCTACACTGCACTCCCTCTAAAGCGAGTGTGTCCTTCTTTAAATAAGAAGACCAAAACTGCACACAATATTCTAGGTACGGTCTCACCAACTGCAATAAGACTTCTCTAGTCTTGTACTCTAACCCTTTTGCAACAAATGCCAACATGGCATTAGCCTTCCTAGTTGATTGCTGTACTTGCATACTAACTTTTTGTGACTGGTGTACAAGGTCATCCAAATCCCTTTGAACACCAACACTACCTAGTCTCTCCCCCTCTAGAAAATTATCTATTATTTTCTATTTTTACTATCTAAGTGAATAAGTTCGCACTTCCCCACATTATACTCTATTTACCACCTTCTTGCCCACTCACCTAGCCTGTCTATTTGCCTTTGCATTCTTCGTGCGTCATCCTCACAGCTTACTCTCCCTCATATCTTCATATCGTCCTCGAATTTAGATATGTTAAGTTCTATTTCTTTATCTAAATCATTGGTATAGACTGTAAAAAATTGAGGCCCCACCACTGATCCTTGTGGCACTCCACTAGTCACATCTTACCAATCTGAGAAGGATCCGTTTATCCCTACTCTCTGTTTTCTTCCTGTTATCCACTCTCCGATCCATGCTAATATATTGCTCTTAATTTCATGGGCTCTAATCTTATGCAACAGCCTTGGGGCACCTTGTTGAATGCCTTCTGGAAATGCAAATATACCACATTTACTGGTTCCCCCCTATCTAACCTGCTAATTACATCCTCAAAAAACTCTATAAGATTTGTTAAACACGATTTCTCTTTCGTAAAGCCATGTTGACTCTGCCTAATCATATTGTGATTTTCTAAGTATCCCACGACGACGTCCCTAATTAAGGACTCTAGAATTTTCCCTACCACCGATGTCAGACTGATTGGTCTATAGTTCCCCATTTTTTGTCTCCCACCCTTCTTAAATATCATCATTACATTTGCGACCTTCAATCATTGGGAACCATTCCAGAATTCAGGGAATTTTGGAAGATCAAAAACAAAGCATCCACTATCTCTGTAGCCAGTTCTTTTAAAACCCTAGGATTCAGGCCATCAGGTCCAGGGGATTTATCGTTTTTTAATCCCATCAATTTCTCTAGTGCTATTGCTTTACTGATGTTTATTTCTTTAAGTTCCTCACTAACATTAGCCTCCAGGTTCCCCTCTATTTTCAGTAAGTTTTCAATATCCTCTAACGTGAAGACAAAAGCAAAATATTTAATGACTCTGTCATTTCTTTATTCCCCATTATAATTTCTCCTGTCTCTGCCTGCAATGGAGCGACATTCACTTTTGATAGTCTCTTCCTCTTTAAGTACTTGTAAAAACTCTTACAATCTGTCTTTATGTTCCTAGCTAGTTTACCCTCCTATTTTTGTGGAGTCCTGTAGCTCAGTGGTTAGAGCACTCGCTTTGCAAGCGAGAGACCTGAGTTCAATTCCAGGCAGGGCGAAACCTTGGGCAAGTTTCCTTACTCCACACGCCTAATAATAATCCCTCCAAAACCCAAAACAATAATAAATTGGTCATTTTCAATCTACGACTGTTTGTGGGACATTGCTGTGCGCAATTGGCTGCCGCGTTCGCCCACAAATATACAGTCAATTCACTTTACAGTGTGTTCTGTGAAGCGCTTTGGGACGTCCTCCTGACGTGAAAAGCGCTATATCAAATGCAAGGATTATTATTATTATTATTATTATTCCACTTTCTCCCTCTTAATCAGTTTCATGGTTTTCCTTTGCTGTTCTCTACAGCCCTCCTAATCCTCAGGTTTTCTGTTCTTTTTGGCAGTATTATAGGCCTCTTCTTTTAATTTTGTACTTTCCCTAATTTCTCTAGTTAGCCAAGGTTGAACCACTTTTTCTCTTCAATATCTATATGTTCCCTTTTGGTGACATCATCCATAGACATGAGGTCAACTTCCATATGTATGCGGATGACACCCAACTCTATCTCTCTGCCGCCACCCTTGACTCCAGGACCACTGCTGTCCTGACAGAATGTCTGTCAGAAATCAAGTCCTAGATGAGAGCTAACTTCCTTCAGTTGAACGTTAACAAGACCGAGGCCCACCTGATTGGCTCCCGTTAGCACCTCCTCATCTCAGGCGCTGAAAGCATCACCATCCATGGTTGTACACTCCACCTTACTTAGCCAGATCGGAATCTTGGCGTCTTGTTTGACCCTCAACTATCCATTCTACCCCACGTTCGTGCCATGACCCGCTCTGCCTTTACCCACCATTGGTGGGCGGGCCTTCTACCACTCTACCCCTACCCTCTGAAACTCCATCCCGCAGTCCCTCCACCTCGCCCCCTCCCTTGCCTCCTTCAAGACCCATCTCAAGTCCCTCCTCTTCGACTGTGCTTTCGATCACCCTCCTTCCCCCACTGCCCTCCACCCTCCCCAGTTCTGACTCCCAGCTCGGGTCTGAAACACTGACTGATCAGCGCCTTGGGATGTCCTCCCGATGTGAAAAGCACTATACAAATGTAATTTTGGTGGTGTTGTTGACATACACAGAAAACTGGAGATAAATGGTTTTGAATTGAGAGCAAAAAAGATTTCTTCATACAGAGAGTTGTGAACATATGGAATGCATTAATCCTTTGTACTCTATTCCCAATGCTCTGTCCATGAATCCTCTCAGATTGTTTTTTTTGAAATGCTAATCCAATTGCTTTAAGAACACGTGTTTGGCAAACCTGTTTTGTTTGTCATCTTGCTGTGATGCAAATGATGTCCAACTATGTCATAATGCAAAATAATAAGTTTCATTTGGTATAGCGCTTTTAACATTGGGAGGACGTCACAAAGCACTTCACAGGATATATTGTGGATATATTGTAAGGTCCCATGACTGTGTTTTCTGTAGGTTATGACAGACATATGGACTAATTGGGCCAAATGGCCTCTTTTGAGACTATCATTCTCAGTAATTCTATGTCATATAATAATAAATAATAATCCTTGCATTTGATATAGCACTTTTCACGCCTTCTAGCCATCTTAAAGCGCTTCGCAGAATATACTTTAAAATGAATGTATATTTGTGGGCGAAACGCAGTAGCCAATTGCGCACAGCAGTGTCCCACAAACAGTTGTGGATTGAAGTGACCAATTTATTTATTTATTTTCCTTGAGGAGTTATTATCAGGCATGTAGAGTAAGGAAATTTGCCCAAGGTTTCATCCTGCCGGGAATCGAACCCAGGTCTCTTGCTTACGAAGCGAGTGCTCTAACCACTGAGCTACAGGACTTTTTGGTCCTAAAATGACCAAAAGGACATTGCAATGAAACTTCTGTGTGGCTGTTCAGTTTATATGACTCCTCAGGCATAAACTCAGTACCTCTTTAAGAAAGAAAGGACACAGACTGGATTAGAAAAACAAGCTGATGGGGATTTTATGGGCTTGGCTGACTCCATGCAAAAACGGGCTCTGTGTCCTTGATTTGTTGATTCGATGATTCAAACTCTTTCGGCCAGATTTTCTTGTAAAGTTTCTGTGTCATGTGGAGTCAGTTTATGACTGGTGTGAGCTTATTTGATGAAGAAAGTAGTGTCATTCTGATCGGATCGTTGATAAAAAAGATTTATTAAGTTTAGTTTTGCTAGTAACAGTTTGAGCAATCACTCGTCTTTGGAAACATTATGCACTGGGCCTTTTAATAATTTGTAGTTCTGGATGATTTTGACAATGGATTATGTTTAAAATGTAATAATAATAATTCTTGCATTTGAAATCGTCCCTTATCATCTCTTCGAGAAGTCTCAAAGCGTTTCACAGAATAATAATAATAATCCTTGCATTTGATATAGCGCTTTTCACGTCGGGAGGACGTCCCAAAGCGTTTCACAGAACACACTGTAAAGTGAATTGACTGTAAATTTTGTGGGTGAATCACGGCAGCTAATTGCAAACAGCAGTGTCCCACAAGCAGTTGTGGATTAAGTGTTTTATTATTATGTATTTATTTATTTATTGTGGGATTATTATCCCGGAAAAACGATCCGCAATCGACTAACAACCAGGTTCCTACTTACTTCTAGGTAAACAGAGGCATGTGGAGTAAGAAAATTTGGCCAATGTTTTACCCTCCAGGAATCAAACCCAGCTCTTCTCGTTTGCGAGGCGAGTGCTCTAACCACGAACAACAACAACAAGTTTACATTTGTATAGCGTCTTTCACGTCGAGGGGACGTCCCAAGGCGCTGGACAGTGAACAGCATTTCAGACCCGAACTGGGGTTGGGAAGGGAGGGGAGGGGAAGGGGGGCGGCCAATGGCATGGTTGAAGAGGAGTGTCTTGAGGTGGGACTTGAAGGAGGCTAAGGAGGGGGTGAGGCGGAGTGACTGGGGGATGGAATTCCAGAGATTGGGGGCAGAGTGACTGAAGACTCTCCTGCCAATGGTGGTTGGGGGACATGGAGCAGGCCGCAGCCGGCTGAGCAGAGGGAACTGGCGGATTTGTAGAGGGTTAGGAGGTCGCAGAGGTAGGGTGGGGCAAGGCCATCGAGGGCTTTGTAGGTGATTCTTCCAACACTTTCTGTTTCCACAAATTAAATTACTTTTAGGAAATAATATTTTGAGATACAGTAGTTCAGGACATGACAAGTACATGCGACTGCCAGGATGGTGAAATGCAAACTGGATGGACCTTGTTTTTTTTCTTCTAGCATGTCCCTTTGGTAACATCCTGGAGCACTTTGCTATTGTTGTTGCCCCGAGAATAAAATAATCATTAATTTAATTCATGGCTATTTGTGGACATTGCTGTACGTAAATTGACTGCTGCATTCATCGACAAAATGCAGTCACTACGCTTTATATTAAATCGTTGAGACATTGAGACATTTTGACAATGCGATAAGGCACAATATTAAATGTAAGCATTATTATTATTATTGCATCTGCACCCAAATCTTTCAACCCCTTTGGTTGCTATATTAGCCTACATTATACACCGTCACTACACTTTACAGCAAATTCTGTAAAGTGCTTTGAGATATTTCAATGAACTGATGAAGCATTATATCAAATACAAGAATTATGATGTTTCAATGAGAATGTCAACCAAGTATTTGCACAACAGAAAGCACAACAGATACTGACTTAACATCATCTACAATATTAATACAACCATAAAAGAACAAAATTGCAGCAGGCATCTCCAACTCTTACATCTTGTCACCTTTATTTTAAAATAATAATAATAATAATAATAAATTGGTCACTTCACTCCACGACTGTTTGTGGGACACTGCTTTGCGAAACTGGCTGCCGCGTTTCACCCACAAAATATACAGTCTTTACTTTACAGTGTATTCTGTGAAGCACTTTGAGACGTCTCAGACACGGTAAGACACTATATCAAATGCAAGGAATATTATTATTATTTATAATCTTTTCATGCAAATCTGCCAGATTAGTGTCATTCACTGGCTTCAGTCTCAGTTTCTGGCTAAAAACATATCTCTTTTAGAGGGTTTTAGATTTGGCAAAGAAAAACTTGAAGCTGAAAAACCCAAATGTGAAGGAGAGTAACAGTGTCCTGGCTGCGAGTCTACCTGCCAACTCATTATTCTCACTATTAAAATCTTTTTGTGATTGATTTTCTAGGACATTGACTCCTTCTTGGTCGAAAACAACTACAAAGAACGTAATGGTATACAACACAACATTCCAGCTAATGCTTCCTCAGCGTTTATGAATTTCAGCTCTGGCATAATCATTTTACGGCTGTTCGTCATGAGTTACATAAGGTATGTTCGTCTTGATTTACTTCAATACTAATTAACATGTCTGGCTAAGTTGGAAGATGCTTACTTAGCCTGAGCTGATACTCCAATGCCTGTTCAGGTGGACCCTAAAGATCCCATGTCATTACTATATTCAAAAAGAGAAAGGAGTTTCTCCTGGTGTCTTGATTTCACAGTAAAATCCTGTGAAGCGCTTTGAAAAGTCTCCACGATGTGATAAGGCTTTATATCAAATTCTATAAAATTTTAAATGGGATTGAGAAAATAAATCCAGAAAAAATACTTTTAATATATGCCAAAGCAGCAGAACAAGAGAACAAGGTATGAGTTGCAAAGGGCAATTTCAGGAAAGGCACCTGGAAAGTTTTCAGGAATGTTTTACACAGAAGTAATTATTGACTGAAATGTGTTACTAAGAAGGGTCACTGAAGCCAGGTTACTAGACTTATGTAAGAAACAGCTTGATGCTGTAATAGGCAGGTGATAAAGTGATAAGTGGAGTCCTGTAGCTTAGTGGTTAGAGAACTTGCTTCACAAGTGAAAGACCTGGGTTCGTTTCCCGGCAGGGCGAAATGTTGGGCAAGTTTCCTTACTCCACACGCCTCTGTTTACCTAGCAGTAAGTAGGAACCCGGTTAGTCCATTGGCGGATCACATTTCTGGGGCTAATAATCCTTGAAAAAAATAATAACAATAATTTGGTCATTCATTCCACGACTGTGGGATACTGCTGTGCGCAATTGGCTGCCGAGTTTCACCCACAAATATACAGTAAATTCACTTTACAGTATATTCTATGAAGCGCTTTGAGATGTCTAGAAGACATGAAAAGTGCTATATCAAATGCAAAGATTATTATTATCATTATTATCTGGATGGATAAAATCAAATAAGCTGAAGGTCCATCTTTATCAACATTTCTCATGTGAATTTCCAGCAACCATTAATCAAAAGATAGACACTAAAGATTCCCAAGTTAATTGAAAAAATAATCATTGGTCATACATTCTGAATAACACGAAAATATCCAATTTATTCATGCTTTTTCATAAATATATCTTTTTTTCTGAAAGGCAAATAACAATAACAACAACAACAACTTGCACTTGTGTAGCTCCTTCCACGCAGGTAGAGTCTCAGAGTGCTTAAATAAAGACTTATAATAACACATACATTTGATATCGTGCCTATAATGCTGCAATATCTCAAAGGGCTTCACATGGAATTGCTGTCAAGTGTAGTGACTGTTTAGTAGTAGGGAAACAAAGCAGAGTCCTGCTAACAGCCAGGAAGTGAAAGTTCAATTCTTCTGGAGGATTGGTGGCCAGGACATTCAAGAACATCACAGTAGCAAAATTATCTGATTTACCGATGTCACAAAAAAGGGTGAGTAATATAATATATGGTTCCCATTTCCTATGCAAATGTGATGTTGTTGCTGTCATAGACTTTGGTTTCAGTTAAATTGATATTGCAGATAGACAGTTGAGAGTCACAGAACATATCAGTGCCTTTTTGTTGCATTGCAACTCGTGACTTACTCTGCTTTTCTCTTGCAGCTTTGTAATAGCACTGACATACTATGGTGTCTCTTTCAATATTGGAAGCTTTGGTGTCAACATTTTCCTCGCCCAGTTTTTCTCTGGATTGGTGGAAACGCCTCAGATTGTGGTGCCCTGCCTCTTGGAGAGGTTTGGACGCAGATGGGTTACCTGCATTACCTTGTTGCTGACCGGATGTTTGTGCTTGTTGTCGCTGCTAGTTTCTACTTTTATTGGTAAGAGCGATCATTAAACCAGCAACTCTTTCCAAAATGTCACATGTGCAGGGCAATTTGAGTGTCACATCTGCTGAAATGTTACTGAGCTTAAATTGCCATTTTGTGATCTTAACATCCTACAATATACAATACAATTTATATTCGTATAGCTCCCAATTATGAGCCTTTACGATGGCTTAAAGATTATTTGAAGACTTTTGCCCAGCACGTTGGTAGATACATGGATAGAAGGAAAGGAAAGAGAGCAAAATGACCCAACTCTCTGTTCTATTCGTGGTATTTTTAATATATATATGTTACAGTAAAGTTGTGAGCCAATTTTCTTTCTCCTCCCCATGCCTCTCAGCTCCTACTCCGAGCTCAGTCCTCAGCCGCTACCATAAGCAATTTTCTTACCATTAAGCAGTCTCCTGACATGAAAGGCGCAGTATAACTGTAAATTTGTATTGTGTCGTATTGCTCTCAGTCACATGCTAAGTTTCACAAGTTTGGGGTTGTGCATCTGTGAGAACGCAAACACAAGGTCAAAACATAAATAAAGTGGTGTTAAAATGTTACAATCAATGTGACTTCTAAATTGCATTTAGGTTATTTATAAGCGCACGGGCACAAATTTACCAAACAGATATGAATATGCCCCTGACATGAAGATTGTTCACAGGGTCAAAGATAATATCACCTGACTAGGCTTTCCGTGTGCTAATTCCTAAATAATTATCAGCAGTTTCAGAATGTTCCCATTAATTGTTTGGATAATCCTTAATGATCTATTTGCCATGGAATGCATGAGAGGAAGACACAGACTGATCTGTCTGAGAATTAAACAGCGATGCTAAGTGATCCATGATCAGTGGATTATGACTGCATTGGGTGTTTGTTTTATATCTTTAACAGGGCGAGCTCATTACTGTATAAGCACCTTGCTAGAGGGTGAGCTTGCTTTTAACGTTGTTTGGACTCCTATAGGTCAGTGGTTAGCAAAAAAGGACACTTCCAGCACTGACCAACCAATTTCTCATGCTAAAATATGGTCAATCAAGTTCAGTTACAATCCATTGATTGTGGATTGCTCAGTGTCTCTGCTTAATTCTCAGGCAGATTAGCTTCAAAGAAATGTCGGCCAAGTTGTCAAGTCACTGCCGATGTCACTTCCTGCACGATGCGTGGATGCAAGAAGCAGCCGTGATGTCACTTTGCTCAGAAAATCGTGCAAGCGTTGTTTATTGCATATAGTGACACGTACAATGCACACGAAGTGACATCAACGCTGTTGTGGAGTCCTGTAGCTCAGTGGTTAGACCACTCGCCTCGCAAGTGAGAGACCTGGGTTTGATTCCCGGCAGGGCAAAACCTTGGGCAAAGGTTCCTTGCTCCACATGGCTCTGTTTACCTAGCAGTAAGTAGGAACACGGTTGTTAGACAACAGGCGGATTCCTTTTCCGGGGGTAATAATTCCTTCAAAAAATAATTAAAAAATAATAATAATAAATTGGTCACTCAATCCACCACTGTTTGTGCGCAATTTGCTGCCACGTTTCGTCCACAAATATACAGTCAATTCACCTTACAGTATATTCTGTGAAGCACTTTAAGACGTCTAGAAGATGTGAAAAGCGCTATATCAAATGCAAGGATTATTATGATTGTTACTTGCAAGGCATGAAGAATTACTTGGGGCTCCACCAACCTGTGCTCTCCCTCCGCTCTGAAGGCACTTCAAAGTGACGTGAAAGTCACTACGTAAATGCAAATTGTACTGTGTTATGTTTTTGCCTTCTTTCCTTTCCTTGTATCTATGCATCTAATACTTGCTGGACAAAAGTCGTCAAATGATCTTTAAGCCATTATAAATCTTATAACCAGGTACTATATGAATGTTAATTGTATTGCATATTGTATTGTGTTAAGATCGCAAAATGGCAATATAAGTTAAGTAACATTTCAGCAGTGGCCCTCAAGTTGCTAGCTCCATGGCCCATGTCCTGTCTGCTCCATTATCGGTGGCCAGGCCTTCAGTCTTTCTGCCCCCACCCTCTGGAACACCATCCCGGAGCCCCTCCGCCTCATTCCCTCCCTTGCTCCCACCATCAGTGGATGAGCTTTCAACCACTATGTCTTCACCCTCTAGAACTTCCTCCTTCAGTTCCTCCATCTCTCCCCCTCTTTATCTGTCTTCAAAGGCTGCCTAAATACTCTTTGACTATGCCTACATTCACCCCCCTCCTCTCCAACCTTCCCTATTCAGAACTTGACACAATCTCTGTAACATACTTCGAGACTTTACCCAATGCAAACAGCATTCTAAAATGCAAGTTGTTGTATAAAACACAAGTTTCACCCCCAAGCTCACTGTGTAAAGTTCATTTCACACTGCAACTTATTGCGAATGAGGCATTGGGTGCACTAACCATATTGACGATTGTATTTTTCCATCTATCTGAACCCTTGAAAAGTTTGCATATTTGATTAAATGTTGTTCTAAAGCAGGCTGGTCCAACTGGCGATGGGCGATTTCACCCCCGTTCCATTTCATCTGGCCCACCCACTCTCTCCATAACTCATAAGTGTCATGTTATGTTTCTGGAAGGGAAACACAAAAATATTGCTTTTGTGGCCACCGGACACAAATAGGGCATCTGGCCCTCAGCAGCCAAAAGGTTAAATATTCAACCACTTAATCTACATGTTATTTTCTGTCTTTCAGATATGCCCTTTTTGATCATGGCTTTAGCTTTATTGGGGAAGCTTTGTGTGCAGACTAGTTGCTTTGTGAGCACATTATACAACATTGAACTATTTCCTACTGTGATCAGGTAATATATATGGGGGTGGGGGAGAGTTCGAAAGGATGTTGAAAAAATGTTAAGTTTTATGGAATCGATCAGATCTAATGTAAGTCTTTCAGACACGATGTCCAGACGCCCAGAAACTTTGGAACTCTCTCCCTCGATCCTTCTGCCTTGAGCCCTCCTTCCCCATTTTCAGATCACACAAAGATACTTGTTGTCATTTCCTGGAGCCCCTGCTGTGTCACCTCCAGCCTGAGCTCCAGTACAGGGAGAATCTACAGCCAAAATAGGCAGGAAATCATAATCTATTATTTTAATAGTTTAATCTTTGACCATATCATTGTCTATTTAAGCTTTCCCTATGAATCTAATAAAACTCAGTCAGTCAAATCCCATTTCAAATGGAAATTCCCATATTCTGAAGGATAAAGGGATTGAGAGCAATTTTTCCTTCACTACATTGATTTAATCAGTTTTTGATTGGGTATTACTGTAAGAGATTATCTTTCAGCATTGCTGAAATGTCACTATTGTTTCAAATGTGTTTTGCAAATGGGCTTTATCTGTCGGTTGTACTGCTTTTCATTCCAGGGGCATTAAATACAAAGATTTTTTAATAAGATAGTAGTGGTAGTTATTCCACCACAAAAGTCACTTTAATGCCAACTTTTTTTTCTCCATAATTAATGCGTAAATGATTGGAACAGGTTGCCAGGAAGAGTATTGGAGGCCAGGACACTGGACTCATTTAAAGAGCAGCTTGATCCAGTAATGTGGGGACAGTAGGGCAGGTGTTCTGGAAGGATAAGATTGGATGAGCCGAAGGGTCTTCATCCAGACTAATTTTATAGTCTTGTAATCTGGTGATCTTCTCCCTACTTTGGTTTAAACTGTCAGAAGTTTGAAAAGTGGTTTCCATAATTGATAGAAAACTTCTCTTCCAAATGTAAATGGCACAGCTCCAGGAGAGATTTTAGTGAATATCCAAAAAGTCTAACCTTGATTGTTACACTCAAGTTATGGACTCATAAAATCACACAGGTAGTTGCATTCAGACAGTGAATTGTTGGTTTCTCCTACAGCTTTGCAGTACTGGAGAAGTTTGTTGGATTAATGGCTGTATTTCTCTGATGAGTGTTTCTGTTTTAGAATGCAAGTTATCCTTGTTGTTCTACTCTTGTATCTTAAATGACATATTGTTTGTCTTCAAATACATAGTCACTCCACTTAATAGTAAAAATCTTGTGAAGTGGTTTGAGATATTTCATCAATGTGATAAGGCATTATATCAAATGGAAGGATTATTATTATTATTATCCTGGCATTTCAGATAATAATAATAATTCAGAATAATAATAATCACCTTCCATTTGATATAGCACCTTATTACATCATTGAGCTATGTCAAAGCTCTTGATAGAATATACTGTAAAGTGAATTGACTGTGTATTTTGATGGCGAATTAAGGATTATTATTATAAATTGAGGATCATTATTACGTATCCAGAATACTAATAGTAATACTAATATTTTATTTTTACATAGACAGAAGTGTATTGGATTTGTGGGACTTTGGTATCGCATCGGCAGTATGCTTACAGGACTGGTCGCCCCAAATGGCAGCATTTCCTTGTCTTTTATGATCAGTTTTGGTATCATGCCATTGCTCGGGGCAGTTTTGTGCCTATTTTTGCCAGAGACGAAGTTCAGTGCTTTGCCAGACACTGTCCAGGATTGTCAGCGGCAGCTGGGCCTGCTTTCGTGTTACAGAAGGTAAGCAGTAAACAAACATTACAAGTATTATATATTAAGATTACACAGCATTACACTGTAGAGTAAGTCCTTTGGAGGGTGATACAACACCTCGATGATTCAATAAGGTACCATATTAAACACAAGGATTATTACAATTGTTAATAATAGAGCTAAGTAAACCTTCATCAAATGCAAGGATTATTATTATTATTATAGGTGGTTCTCTTTTCCGGGAAAAATAATCCCTTAAAAAAAATTGGTCGTTCAATCCACGACTGTTTGTGGGATACTGCTGTGTGCAATTGGCTATCGCATTTTGCCCACAAAAAGCAATTCACTTTACAATATATTCTGCAAAGCGCTTTGAGACGTCTCAAAGACTTGATAAGGCGCTATATCAAATGAAAGAATTATTATTATTAATATTTTGTGAATTGAAACAGAGTCAATTGATGCATGAAATGGTCAATGCAATGCAAAACAATTTACATTTATGTAAATACATTTACCTATGACGTCGGGAGGATATCTCAAAGTGTCTAACTCACTCGTATTGGAATTTTTACTCACCAAAGTTAAATGGCATGAGAGGTCTTTCTGAAAAAAGTAAAGTATGCTCCACATGACCCATGTGGCGGTTCGCCCACAAAATATACAGTCAATTCCCTTTACAGTATATCCTGTGAAGCGCTTTGAGACGTCTCAAAGACGTGATCAGGCACTATATCAAATGCAAGGATTATTACTATGGCTTGGACATCTTTAAAAGAAGAGATAAACCACTAGATGGTGCTATTTTAACAAGAATGTTACCATTGAAAATTTTGGTTAAAAATATCAAAACTTCAAATTCGGCACAGAGACATATTATAATGTTATAGGAGGGAAAATTATCACTGAAATAAACCCTAACCTCTGGACATCCCTCCCTCTATCCCTCTGTATCACTTAATCTCTATCTGTTTTAAAATCCCATCCAAAATCTACCAAGGAGGTGAAAGGAAGCACAGAATTAAATGTATTGTCTGAACGTAAAGTCTTCTCCCGCTTTTGGGTATATTAATTCCCTAATGGGCATTAAAGATCCCATGCCACTATCTGAAAAGAGAAAGGAGTTTCTATCGATGTCCTTGCCAACAATTGCCAGGTAAAATTGTCATTCACTTCATCGCTGTTTGGGATTTTGCCATGTTCAGATTTGCTGCTATATTTGCTTACAAAATATAGTCAACTTGATAGCAATTACCTTTGAATCACTTTGAGCCATTTTAACATTATCAGTCTGTCAGCCTGGCTCAGATGGCTCAGTAATACTGAGCTTCTGAGTCAGAAGGATGTCGGTTCAAGCTTCACATCGGAACTTGGATTCTAAGCATTATTATTAATACAACTTCAAAGAACAAGGATGAAAGATGCATGTTTATTTCACCAGGTCAGAAGTTAAAGTTCAAATAATTTTGTCCTTTTCTACAGAAAAAACTCAACTGACAGCAATGAGAGGAATACAGATCTGGCTTTAACCTGCAATGAAGACATCAGGAATACAGGTCTGGATTTAACCTGCAGTGAAGACACAGAACTCAAAAACTGCTGCAAACTGGAATAAAAAGTCTTGCTACCATTACCCAAGCACATCTGCATCTCAAAGGAAACAAGTGTATAGNTTTTTTTAAATGTAAATATGCAATCCAATTCACATTTAGAAAGTGTCTTTCAGTTCAGGAGTCCATCACGAAGCACTTCAAACACAATCAACTAACGTTTCATTTCCAAGGGTTGGTCAGACCTGCTTATGAACATTGCAGGAAAGAGACACATTACCCTTGGAGCACTGCCGATAAGTTAAGGTGTGAAAGAGAGTGGCAATCATTGGGTGAGGATGATCAGCATGTTTGTTACTCTAGATTCTCTAAGTCTGAAGGCTACAATTTAAATAATACATTGTTGTTAAATGTCTCCAGTTGATGTCTTAATTATTGTCTGGTCTGCGGATGTGACTCTCTCCCCCCACGCCTCTCGCGACTCTCTTACAATAGTTGGGTGCAAAGTCAACCACGTATCATAGTGGGACTGCTTCTTAACCCTGATGCCTACTGAATCATTAGACAAAGTTGACCCCAAACAGGGTGTAACAAGGAACCCTGCAAAAGTAGGTGGAGGTTGGGACTAAAAGTGAGCTGGGCTGAGAACTGAGAACAAACACCTTGTGCAGTTGTGTGTGTGTATGTTGGAGTGGAGTTGTGGAGGATAGGGAGGAATTGGGGGAATTTTTGGTGTGATAATTATCATCATTACCATTTTCACTCTATTCATGAGCAGTATAAAATAGGGGGGAGCTGGATTCATCGCAGTGTTTGTAAGCAGGGACCTCCCACACATTTGTGGTCACATGCCCCAACTCGCTACCTTGAGCAAGCATATGCTCTAACCTGTGTGAGGATCAGTTGAAGAGGAAATTGGTCCCTCCCTCGGCTGAGGTATATAATCCAACAAGGGGAGGATTCCCCCACAGAGGTAACACTTTAACAAGCATTAGTGAATGCTTTTGACTACGAATGCTTGGCTCCTGTCAACGCCTCCATACCTCGGGCGCTGACAGCATCACCTTTCATGGATGCACTCTACACCTCACGGAGCCAATACAGAACCTCGGTGTCCTGTTTGACCCTCAGCTGTCCTTCATGACCCACATCCGTGCCATGTACATCTCCTCCTTTCATCACCTCCGCAACATTGGCAGTCTCCAGGCCGCCGAGATGCTAGACCACGCATTCATCACATCCAGGCTCGACTGCACAAATTCCTTGCTGGTCGGCCTCCCCTCCAGAGGCTGCAGATCATCCAGAACTTTGCAGGACATGTTCTCTCCCGCACCAGGCTCCACAACCCTGTCACCCCCATTCTTGCCTGGCTCCAATTGCTCCACTATATTACTAACCTGCCCACTCCCTCTGTTCAGCAGGCTCCAGCCTGCTCCATGTCTCCTGCCTTCAGTCACCCTCCCTCCTCTCTGCCTTCCCTCACCCCTACCCCACCCCTCCCCCATCCTTGGGTTCTGACCCCTGATTGTCCAGCGCCTTGGGATGTCCTCCCGACGTGAAAGGGGCTCTATAAATGTAATTTTGTTGTTTTGTAGATGAAGGCGGTAGCTAATTTGTGCCCTCAATGCCCCATAAACAGCCATGAAGTGAGGCATCAATTTTATCTGGGGGATTGCTGGCCAAGACACTGGAAGAAATTCCCTTTGTTTTCAATTAGTGTTACGGGGTCATTAATGTTCACCTGAACAAGCAGACAGGAACACAGTTTAACATCTCATCCGAAGGATGGCACCTCTAATAATGCAGTGTTCCCCAATTGCTATAACAGATTAATAATAGTCCTTGCATTAGATATAGCGCCTTATTATTACTTCCTATATGTAGTACCTTGCTTATATTTGTCATCAGGCCATGTGCACACCCCATCACGCTTTCTTTGTAAGGTCTTTGTTGCCTCCTCTAATTCCAGTTCCCCTCAACTTGGTATCATCTGAAAATTTTGCTACCTTCCCCTGGGTGTGCAAGTCCAGAACATTGATATATACAAGGATCAGGAGGCATACCAGTACAGATCCCTGAGGCACTGCTTAATTTCTCTCCCGATTTGACTTAAATCCTCTAGCAACAGCCCTCTGCTTTTTTCCCTTCAGACAGTTGTGAATCCATGTCCATGTCTTGCCCTTGATACACAGTGACCGCAGTTTGTGAAGGATTCTTTCATTTGGTGCTTTGTCAAATGCCTTTTGGAAGTCGAATTTAGCCATTTGTCAGGTTATAAAGAACCTGCACTTGATGCCAAGCATCTTAATTACGGAGACAGGAGACAGGAACCACCTGGCTTTTGACATTTCAAAGGAATGTGGAGTCTTTCTCCTGATTGCTACTTTATACTGCCCTCCTAATCCACATTTACCCACAAATTAAATTTAATTGTTAACATCGTTGAGATGTCTCAAAGTGCTTCACAGTATATGTTGTAAATTGGATTGACTGTATTTTGTGGGTGAAACAGCCATGGAACGAGTGACCAATTGTATTCAGCGAGATAGCACTGTACCTGAAGGAACAAGTTATACTGCTGCTGGGAACAGTGCTATACCTCTCCGACCTGCTTATCTCCCAACTCACAACCCGCAGCCTCAGCTCGACTGGCTCCGACCTTCCGCATGTCTCTTGTCTCCTCCGCTCCACCATTGGTGGCCGTGCTTTCAGCCACTATGCCCTGAATCTCTGGAATACTCTTCCTCTATCCCTCCGCCTTGCCCCTTCCTTCCCCATCTTCAGTCGAGCCTGAAGACCTTCCTATTCGACCGTATCTACAGTCACCAAATCTTCCCTCCGGCTCAAGTTCGGGCTCCACCACTGTCAAGGCCTCTGGGCCTGTGTGAGGTGCACTATATAAATCCAAGTTGTCGTTGTTGCTGCCTCCAGAGGAAATGGTGAAAAACATCTGTTTAAGTGGGTGCTGAGACGTCAGAAATGAGCAGATCCACACCGGTTGCTTTACATCATCAACACTGAACAAGGGGACTGTGGCTCTATAAGGTAAAAGATTAAACAGAATTTTCCTTTCAACTCAACTTGCCGATTCTGTGCTGTCTTCTAAAGAAAAACACCATTTTTATTAAATTTGACATTCAAATGAGTTCAAGGTGACATTTTGCTCAGAACACTGGGTTGTAGTCTAACCTGCGTCTAATTTAAAAACTGGCTTCAATGAACCCATAGGAAGCCCGGCTAGTTGTTTTCCAGATAGTCTTCCAAGATTCCCCTCTGGTTCAAGAGATCAACTTCAGATCTGTAGTAAAACGCTGAAGATAGCAGTGTTCCCCACCCCCCCACCCCCATGTTATTGGGTATTTTAAGCAATTATTTACATCGTACATTCACAAGCTGCATTTCAAATGTTTTGGTAAGAACTGTATTGCAATAATACTGCCTATGGACTTATGAGCCAGTGTGTAGCCTGAGTTTGCAAAACTTTGCTGCACTTTACATTTGTTTTTAGAACAACCAGATTATCAAGTGAAATAACAGAGGCAGGACATTCCAGAAGGTAATGACGTGGAACGTAATTAACAACGGCCTCAGTGGTAGCACTCTCACCTTTGAATCAAAAGGTTGTGGGTTCAAGCCCCAATCCTGGGAGCATTGTCAGAGGTGTCGTCCTTCAGATGAAATGTTAAACTGAGGTCCCGTCTTCCTGTTCAGGTGGATGGCACTATTCAAGATCTCATGGCACTACTTGAAAAGAGGAGGGAATTTCTCCTTGTCAACAATCCCCCAAATAAAATGACTGTGTGTGGGACTGTGTGTGTGCGTAGCTGGCTGCCGCGTTTCACCCACAAAATACATGGTCACACCACTTTACAGTGCATCACGTGAAGCACTTTGAGATGTCTCGATGACATGATAAGGCGCTATCAAATGCAAGGATTATTATTATTACACTTCGGCTTACTGGCAAATCAATACATAGTATAAAGAATAGTTATTTCATCAACCATTAGAGGTAGCATTAATCTCATGTGATACTGGATTACAGTTGATTTTTGCTTTTCTAAACTTTGGGCGAAAATAAGTGACGATCTGGTCCTTTTTGCAACTGTGGTCAACGACATTTATGGAAAGCAAAAACAATTAGAACTGACTAAGATTGAACCACAGGAGACGAGAATACAAATCACTTTCTCCTCTAACTGCACATCTATCAATTTCACAACCTGTTTCCAATTTGCAAAAGTAACAGTAAACCCAGATTACAATCAAGGGTACAATGTGAAATGCATCCAGTTTGCTTCATAGGATAAAATGATTGACTTGAAAAAATGAAAGAAAATCTAAAACTGTAGCTATAATGTAAAAAGATTACATATTATTTACTAAAGTAACAGCTTTGTGAAATGAATAATGGCAGTTTTGGTTGAATATCTTGTTCAGAATATTCACTGGGATCTGCTAAATAGTTCCCTTGTGTCCAATTACTGAATTATTTGCTCACATAACCAGCCTCAGGGGTTTGGATGTAATAGGTAGTGTTACTATTAGATGATAATTGTTTATGTCTTTCTGTACTCGTGACCCTTAATGTAATTGCTGTGATTATATCCATCTGACAGTTAATGAGCACAAAACTGAAGTACTGTGATTGTAAATGATTAATTGAAGACACATGCTAGAGACTGTACAAAAAAACCTTTTTTTTCACAAGCTTAGGTGTGATAATATGCCTGGTGTTACAAAGTGCTAACATGTTAATGTTAAAAAAACAAATAAAATAAATTAGTCACAGAAAAGTGACTTTAGCTTGGAGGAAATTCTATGTGGCTTTTTATGTATTTATATTTGGTTCAGGTGTAATACAGTATAATGTCACTGAGTGTGATGAGAATTAAGTTTTAATACTATGTTTATGCAGAGTGATGAAAATCGTTAACACTTCAGTGTTAATGGATTGGGTCAACATGTAGAGCACTATTGGGCATGTGTTTGAAAAATGTTTTGCTCTGTGATTCTGTGCACAAGTGGCTATTGAAGTCAAATCAATTGCAACATTTTAAAAGGAAATAGATAAATATCTGAAGAATTCAGAGCATTCCTCATCTTCACAAGCATCAGTTCTAACAGTCTAAGTCTGATATCATTTCTTAATGAAATGTGAGGCCAGCCAGGGCACCATCCAAATGAATAATGTAATGTCAGAAGGTTTGGAGAGGAGACAACAAATCAGACTGAACATTCAACAATAATAATAATAATAATAATAATAATAATCCTTGCATTTGATATAGTTGCACTTGTAATAATAATAATCCTTGAATTTAATACAGCGCCTTATCATGTCTTCTAGATATCTCAAAGTGCTTCACAGAATATATTGTAAAGTGAATTGACTGCATGTTTTGTGGGCGAAAC